GTCAGCTGCTCAAAGAGAAAACATCATTGATTTCTGAATCACCTTTGTGTGTGTTATGCAGCGACAAAATAGGCTTGCTTTCCAACTTACCAACTCAAGCTGAACCTACCCCTCTAAGGAGTGGGAACAAAATACTGGTTGTAAATAACCTTGAGGACACAGTGTCAATCCTGCCCTTGACAAAGAGTAGTGTAATCTGGATCCTGAGAAATAGAAATTCTTAATACAGTACTTAAAAAGATCAGGGTGGCTGCAAGGATTCTCCCTTTGGAAGAATGGCTAACTAAATTGTGGGAGGAGGTCTCAATGTTTAGAATAACACTGTATTTGAAATGTAAATCCAATGTAGAATTTAATTCTTATTGGAAACCATTCTTGGACTACAATCTTATACACGGAATCATGCCACACTCATAATGGGGGTTTCAGAGTTCATATCCTAACGTGATATATAATCTACAGTATTGATTTAGTGTATTATTTACTATCTGTAATCTTTGTTTAATGACAAAGTTAACCAAACTTTTAGTTTAAAGTTCAACAGGGACACATGGATTTTTGATTAGAAAATAGATACGAAATATCTTACAGTATTTTAAGCTTCTAAGGAAGTATTAGATTATATTAGCTACATATTTCAGATCAGTTGCTTATATGCCCTTATTTCAGTACCTGCATCATCTATTTCTTATACTCTTTCAAAAATATATAATAATAAAATGGGGAAAAAAGTATGGGTGACAATAGATGTTTTGAGCCCCTCCCAAACTGTAACGAGGAGGGACCTGGCCTCATTTCTGCCGTTTAGGGCCCATCTATCCTATGACTTGCAAAGATGTCCCTTGAAAAAATGCAGGGTGACTTGTACGAGCATTCGGCAAAAGATGCTACTTCTGTTCTGAAGATCAACCAAGGACAAGACAAAGGAGACTTACAAAACAGTATTTAGTGGAGTTTAGGAAAGATCCACATACAGGTAGTCCTTGCTTAACTGTTTGATTAATGACAGTTCGAAGTTACAACGGCCTCGGAAAAAGTGCTTTACGACCTGTACTCTCATTTACAACCGTCACAAACCATCACACCATCCCCACGGTCACATGCTCACAATTTGCAACTTTTTTACAATGGTCGTAAAGCAAATCACTGTGGTTGTTAAGTGAATCATGGGCCATTTAGCTAATTCCAGCAAAAAAGTCCATTGAGTGAAGCTGGATTCACTTAATAACATCATTCGCTTAATGACCACATGATTCCCTTAACAATCACAGTGATTCATTTTACGACTGTCATAAATAGGTCATAAAATTGGGTCCGGTCACGTGGTGACTCACTTAATGACCGCCCCACTTAAAAATCAATTTTCCCATCCCTATTATGGTTGTAAAGCAAGGACTATGTGTAATATTCATTCATTTTATTACAAATTTTGATTTTATTTTACTGCAGGAAACATGGTTGAGAGGGGAGCTAAAGCTGGATATTACACAATCACATAGGAAGCAATTGCTTCCCCATTTGAAGGGTACCCAAGTGGGTATATTTATCTCCACCAAATTGAAAATATATTAGGTTAAGCTTGACATATCAAGTCCTAGTTAGGCTTAAGCATTGTTCCTTTTTGTTGACATAGTCTCAGTATAAAGAAACATGGCAAGATCTAGATTATATATCTGATTTGGTAACAAACTACAGTGGTACCTCAGGTTACGAACGCCTCTGTTAACGAACTTTTCGGGTTACAACCAGCTCCGGCCGCAAAAAATTA